CATTGTCTTGCATTAGGAGGAACTCAGGGCCAACCGCACCAGCATATGGTCTCACAAGGGGTCTAAGGATCTCATCTCGATACCTAATTACAGTCAGGCTACCTCTGGCGAGCACATGGAGGGCTGTGCGGCCCCCCAAAGAAATGCCACCCCACACCATTACTGACCCACTGCCAAACCAGTCATGCTGGAGGATGTTGCAGGCAGCAGAACGTTCTCCACGGCATCTCCAGACTCTGTCACGTCTGTCACATGTGCTCAGTGTGAACCTGCTTTCATCTGTGAAGAGCACAGGGCGCCAGTGGCGAATTTGCCAATCTTGGTGTTCTATGGCAAATGCCAAATGTGACGAGACCAATCTCACCACTGTGCATTGGAGGAGCCTGGTTGCCTGCCTGCTGCCTTTAGACTATGGCCCCATGTTGAAACGCTTGATTTTCCCCTGCAGAGACACGAAAGCGGTATTTACATTCGGTACTTGCCCTATTTGAACAATGATACCCCAGATAGCTATGCCATGGAGCCCATTCACGTAACGAAAGACTATGTGAAAGACTTTGGCTCCATGGCAATTGAACTGTATGTATGTGATCTGAGCGCCATTCAGTAATAATGTGCGTTCAGATCTAAGCTATCTGGGGATATGTACCTGTTTTATGCAATAGCTGCACAGTTATATATTTTTATGTATTTTGTTGTCTTTTGCTACCATGTGTTCAATGGAGTTTTGCTTCTGTCCTTGGAGATAATTGGATTACTTCCCAATTATCTCCAGGATAGAAGACTCTGTGGAACAGGTTTTGGGCAGAAGAGCCATGTTTCATTTGGTCACAAAGGACTTCGATCTATCTTTTGAACCACTCGACCAATTTGGATGATTTTGACATATGTTTGTATTTGGAGTATGCTGAGTATTCTGAAAATGTAAGTTTTATGTGAATGTGATGTATACTTTTAAAGTTATGAATAATGTGAAAAAACTATATTTCTCTGTGATAATTACATTAACCCATTGTGTAAGGTAATTGTATCACAGGCAGAGGGGAGGATTTTGTGTGGGAGTGTCTGAGTGTATTGTACGTGTTTATTGGTTGTTTTATAAAACCCTGTGGGTGGTACTAATGTGTAAGAATGTGTATATAAGAACAATAAACACACAGCTCTGTCTGTTCCTGCTTGTTCCTGGATTTATTGTATGCTGTTTCAGTTTGACTGCTACGAGTGTAAACCTATTCGTATGGTTTTTCCTATTCGGCTGTTTACAGCATTCGTATGGTTCCGGTTCAGCTGTTTACAGCATTCATATGGTTTCTTGTTCGGCAGATTGGTGTCTTTGTTAGCTGCCTGTGTATCTGCAAGGGAATATCTCCTAAACGGCTGTTAACTCCTTTTATGCCTGAGGGTGCTGTTACACCAAATGTCCTGCACGGTGTTGGGCTGAAAGCACAACTCCCACCTGTGGACGTTGTGCCCTCATACCACCCTCATGGAATCTGTTTCTGACAATTTGAGCAGACACATGACCTGCTGGAGGTCATTTTGCCGGGCTCTGGCAGTGCTCCTCCTGTTCCTCCTTGCACAAAGGCGGAGGCAGGACCGGCACTACCTGTTAGCGCCGCCCCCCCCATGCTGCAGCCACCCGAGCACTCTGTAGAGAGCCTCAGGCGGCTGCAGCTTTGCCCGGGCGGTGTGTCCATGAGGGCGGACCGCATTTCCCGGGCGCAGCATGGGAAGAGGGGCTGACAGGAGGGAAGCTCTCAGCGCTCCATCCTGTCACTCCCTCTGTTGTAGCGTGGCCGAGCCCCATATGGTCCGCGGGTACAGGGAGCATCTGTCTCCTGTACCCGGCCGGACTAACAGGAAGTGCAACTGAGGTAGGGGGGAGGGGAGCATGAAATTGGGAAGGGGGGGAAGAAAGAGAGTGACAAGTGGGGGAGGAAGAAGAGTGACAAGTGGGGGAGAAACAAGGAGGGCAGAAAGAGTGACAAGTGGGGGGAGGAAGAGAGTGACAAGTGGGGGAGAGAGAGTGACAAGTGGGGGGATAAAGTGAGTGACAAGTGGGGGGAGGAAGAGAGTGACAAGTGGGGGAGAAAAGTGACAAGTGGGGAGAAAGTGACAAGTGGGGGAGAAAGAGAGTGACAAGTGGGGGGGAGAAAGAGAGTGACAAGTGGGGGAGAAAGAGAGTGACAAGTGGGGGGAAAAGAGAGTGACAAGTGGGGAGGAAGAAAGAGAGTGACAAGTGGGGGGGAGAAAGAGAGGACAAGTAGAGTGACAAGTGACAAGGGGGGGAGAAAGAGTGTGAGACAAGGAGGGGGGAGAAAGAGAGAGACAAGGAGGGGGGAGAAAGAGAGAGACAAGGAGGGGGAGAGACAAGGAGGGGGAGAAAGAGTGTGACAAGGAGGGGGGAAAGAGAGTGTGACAAGGAGGGGGGAGAGAGATTGACATCCATCACACACACATAATCACACACAATGCAACCCTTGCACACAGAAAAACACACAATGCATTACACACACAGAAACACATACACAAGCAATGCAACCCTTACACATAATGCATCCCTTACACACACACAGAAACACACAATGCATTCATTACACACACTCAATGCATCTCTTACAGACACACACACTGCATCCCGTACATACACAGAAACACACCTTGCAGCCCTTACACATATAAACACAGATTCACACAATGCATTCCTTACACACATATCAGGACATCCCCTACACACTCCCCCCCCTGTGAACAAACTCATTGGTGGAACATGAAGGTGGACCCTGGGACCCAGACCTTGAGCTGTGTAAAGGGCCCCCCAAAAAATGGAGCTGCTTCCCATTCTCCCAGAACATTGATTTTGTGACCAATGTTCAGCCTCCAGAGATCCTGTTCTACACCAGACCAGTGGAGCCAGACTGCAGCTAGAGCCCATCATCATCCTCATCTGGTTGTAAGTAGGCAATCTAGTATATTATTCGTGGCACTAATCTCTAATTTACCTCACATTAAAGAAACACTATAGTCCCCAGAACCACTGCTGCTTAATGTAGTGGTTCTGGTGTCTATAGCCTGTCCCTGCAGGCCTTTTAATGTAAACACGGCGGCACTGCAGCACTGACTGCAGCACTGGCGTTAGTTAACATGGCAGATCATATGGGTGGGGCATTGTGATGTCACATGGGGGGGCGGCAAACTTTACTTTTGCGTAGGGTGGCAAAAATCCTTGCACCGGCCCTGGGCGGAGGTAGCGGTCTTGCTGCTGGGTTGTTGCCCTCCTATGGCCTCCTCCACGTCTCCTGATGTACTGGCCTATCTCCTGGTAGCGCCTCCATGCTCTGGATACTACACTGACAGACACAGCAAACCTTCTTGCCACAGCTCGCATTGATGTGCCATCCTGGATGAGCTGCACTACCTGAGCCACTTGTGTGGGTTGTAGACTCCGTCTCATGCTACCGCTAGAGTGAAAGCACCGCCAGCATTTAAAAGTGACCAAAACATCAGCCAGGAAGCATAGGAACTGAGAAATGGTCTGTGGTCACCATCTGCAGAACCACTCCTTTATTGGGGGTGTCTTGCTAATTGCCTATAATTTCCACCTGTTGTCTATCCCATTTGCACAACAGCATGTGAAATTGATTGTCATTCAGTGTTGCTTCCTAAGTGGACAGTTTGATTTCACAGAAGTGTGATTGACTTGGAGTTACATTGTGTTGTTTAAGTGTTCCCTTTATTTTTTGAGCAGTGTATATATAAACATATTTATTTAAATATCTATATAGTTTGAATTGGTTTACTGTATTTTTAACATGTCACCCTAAACATAAAAGGTGATTAAGTTGGAGGCTGCCTATATGTGATTTATGTATATATTCTTTTTGTTCTTTTTCAACTACCTATACTAAGTGCAGTCTGTTCTTTTCCTATCATTCATCGATTGGAATTGCACGGACTCTTTCTGATTACTACAAGGCTAAGAGAATCCCCTGAAGTTTTCAGGATTTTAAACATTCCTACCATAGGACAAGTGAAGCCTAAAGTGTGTAAGGATTGGACACACGTGCTCAAGAAAGCATCGCTAGACCTGATGTTGATCATCATCAAAGATGTCAAAATTGACTTAGCAGATACTAACCAGAAGATCTTAGATTTCGAAACTGAGCATGCATGCTCCTAGCGTCATCTAATGCAATAAAACTGCAACATAAACTAAAAGAAGAACTCTTGAAATATAAAAATGATATAATAAAGTTTAAAAAGTTTGAAAAAGTCCAGTTAGACTATCAAGACCACAGTGTCTACAAATGGCTCTCGGGTGATAATCGACATAGACCCAGGCAACAGCATAAGAAAATTGTGAGCCCCCAAATAACCACCATTGATGTAACTTTGGGAGAATCGGCCTCAGAAAACAAGACACACAGAGACCCTGCTCCTTTTTTTAGAGAACAGAGGAACAGGTGCTATCACGAGGTGCCTTGCACTAGCGAACGAAGGAGCAGAACCAGAAGGGGACACAAGGGCAAGAGCTGGCCTGCGGGGAAAGCCATCGCTAAGGAAATTATCCCAATCTTTAACTTACCTCATAGACCACTGAGTGCACAAGAAATGGATCTACTAAGCCATGGTCTCTCTTTTGTACCTACACCACATTCCAATCAGTTCATGTGGAACATTGAATTGTTTTGTTTTGGCAAATCCATGTGATTAGAAGAATACTTTGACAGTCCTGAATCCCTTAAGACTCCACCCAATGGTGAGACAATCGACAGATTTTGGCTGAAATCAATGTTTGACCCACAATCTAATAAAGCATCAATTAAAACATTTCTGTGAACTACAAACAAAATAACCCAAACAATATTGTCACAAAATAATGGCGAGTCTCACAACATCATGAAATTACAGAGAGTAATTGATTAAACAATTAGCGGATGACCCTTCCATAGGGATTTGATCAGCTGACAAGGCAGGGGGTATCGTTATCAGGGACTACCAACACTATGCTAAGAATTTAAGTCACAACTCCGAGACCACGAGACATATCTACCATTACAGGGAGATCCCACCAAGGAAAGGTTTTCCTGGCACTGCAGGTCCCCTCTCCCTCCCACCTCCCATTCCCAGTTGCTGAAGGGGTGAAAACCCCTTCAGTGACTTACCAGAGGCAGCGACGATGTCCCACGTCTCTGCTTCTTCCTCCGCCCACGCTCCTCCCCATCACCACATCAGCCGGCTGGGGAGACAGATCTCACGCGCATTACACCTCACCATAGGAAAGCATTGAAAATGCTTTTCAATGCTTTCCTATGGGGATATTAGCGACGCTGGAGGTCCTCACACAGCGTGAGGATGTCCAGCGAGGTTAGAAAAAAAACCTGTGCTATAGACCAGGAAGTGCCCTCTAGTGGCTGTCTAGTAGACAGCCACTAGAGGAGGAGTTAACCCTGCAAGGTAATTATTAATCAATTTTTTAACAAGGAGCATCCACGCACGTCTGTCATTTATAGTATCCCAAAAATACATGATTCAGAATGGCCTCCCGGATGTCCTATTGGAACCAATCCAAGTACTGGAACCAATCGCAAAATGGTTAGACCATATCTTCAAAGGGCCTGTTGAAGCTTTATATATTTGTGTTAAGGACACTCAAACCCTTCTTTCAAAGATCACTACATTAAAATTTGGGGAGGTCAAACCCATTTTGATCACGATGGATGTTGGAAGCCTCTACACCATGATTCCACGTGAAGAGGGAATTGATGATTTGAGAACCATCCTTACAGAGTCAAATGTCTACCAAGGTCCACCCATAGAATTTGTTCTTGAGCTTCTTGCACTTACGCAAAACAACTACTTTTGTTTTGAAGAACAATGGTTTTTACAAATGATTGGCATGTCCATGGGGGTAGCAATGGCCCCCATGTATGCAAATACATACATGTTTATCTATGAAGAAAAGTATATATTATCACAATGATGGGCACAACATATTGGGTTACTATCGTTATATTGATGACCTGCTCCTGATATGGACAGGGACTCTGAGAGAAGCGACGGCTAGGATAGAACACCTGAATCCACTTCCTACACCAATTAAGCTGACAGCTAACATCAGCCAAGATAGGGTTCATTATCTTGATTTGAAACTCTTGGTGGGTAGCCAACATATTGAATACTCTCTATTCTCCAAACCAACTGTCTGTAACACTTTGCTACATGCCCATAGCGCACATCCCCAGACTCACTTCCTAAAGCACAATTTCTCATGGAGATAAGGAATAATTCTAACAAGGATAAAATAGAGAGCCAATTACAGAAAATGACACTGAAATTCTTAGACCGTGGATATACGCTCTACACCCTTGATAGGGCGTTAAAAGAGGCAATGAATGCCCACGCACCCCGGGTAGCAAATTCTTCACAGAGAATTGTCTTTCCTATGACTGTTCATGAGAGACCAAAGTCATTAGAGACAACTGGAAAATGGTATTGACAGATGACACTCTTCGAAAGGTTTTTAAAGAACCTCCTTTAATCTGTTCTAAGAGAAATAGAAACTTCAAGGACATGCTAGTACACACCAACCCATTGAGTAGTTATGCAAAAATTACTAAAGTCCAAACTCGTGGTAGTGTAAGATGCCTTGGTTGTGTTACGTGTGGACATATAATGCCAGCCAAGTTTTTTAATCATCCACATTCTAATAAACAATACCAGATAAAGCACACCATAACTTGTAAAACAGCATACGTGGTGTACAAACTGGTCTGCCCCAGTGGCTTGAACTACATGGGCAAGACAGAGACCCCCCGGTGTGAAAGGATCTGTGGCCACCATTCCGGTATCAGGTTGGCATACAGGGATGGGTCCTCAGACAAACCTGTTGCAAAAACATTTCCTTGAATAGCATCACCCTTTATCAGCTTTGAAGTTTGTTGGTATAGATCATATACCTTAGCCTATAAGGAGAGGCGATAGGGTCAAAATATTACTTAATAGAGAAGCATATTGGATCCATGAGTTAAGTACAGTCTCTCTTAAAGGACTAAATTAAAATGTATTACTGCTTCCTTTTCTGTAAAACCCCTCCAGTTTGTAATTTGCAATATTTTTGTAATTTGTTTTTAACAGTGGTTATAGTGATATATACAGTTTATGTCCTGACTTATATATGTAATTTTCATTGGTCCATTTTGTCAGTCTTCACTTTTTATCACACTCTTTTAAGTGATTTATGATACTTTCTATAGGAACATATTTATTGCACTATTGTACATTTAGCACTCCTGATTTGCACTTTTTTGCACATTATTCTGGCACCTTAACATCTCTATTAACAGGCTTTATAGAGTATCTCTCAATTGAAGCACTGTCACTTTAATTGCCTTATTAGGTATTTAATTCATAACTATACCACTTTTACAAGCTAAGTATATTTCATTCATTTCACTTTCGGCACTTTGATATTGTAGCCTGTTCTTTGAGCGCACGATTTGAACCGAATGGACAAACACTTCTCGTTTGTATTGCGTTCCCATTGTGACACAGCTGTTTCCTGCATCACCATGGTAACACGCCCAACGTCATCACGCTATTCTGGCACGTCTGGTGGGCGGAGCACATCTTGCCCATGCGTGGTGCACTCAGTAAGACACCGGCGATCCCAAGCTTCAGCTGAGTTGAGTTCACCAATCATTTATTTCCCTATATATTGTGTATATGTATGTTTAGAATGTCACTTGTTTTTTTGATGCTGAGAAAAGTCCCACTGGTGGACTAAAACATTGATCCTATTTTAAATATTTGGAAATAAAGTATTTTTAGATTTTTATGAAGACCATGAGTGCAGCCTTATCTTTGGAATTGTATATAGTATATATATATATATATATTTTTTTTTTTATTGTGTGTGGTTTGTTTTTTTTGTGAGATCCCATTTAAAGCTAATGGTGCCAGTTTTCTTCTGTTTAAAGGAACACTATAGCGTTAGTAATACAAATATATATTCCTAACGCTATAGAGCCCTAGTCACCGTTTGGGTGACTAAGGCCCCGTTCCGCAGTGGATAAATGGTTAATTAACAATTTATTTGCTTACCTTAATCCAGCGCCAGGCTCCCTTGGTACTGGTGACCTCTCCTCCTCCATTGACATCAGCTTCCGAGTAAAGCCAAACGCGCATGCGCGGCCAGAGGCGTGCACGCATTCAAACCCCCCCATAGGAAAGTATTACTCAATGCTTTCATATGGGGATCTTTTTTGACACTGGACTCCGTGAGGACGCCCAGTGTCAAATAAGTGCGATTTACTCTGTGTAAATTGCAGAAGCAGCCCCTAGTGGCTGTCAGGGAGACAGCCACTAGAGGTTGGAATAACCCTCAGTGTAAACATAGCAGTTTCAGCTGCAGGGTTAAAACTAGAGGGACCTGGTACCCAGACCACTTCATTGAGCTGAATTGGTCTGGGTGCCTGTATGGTCCTTTAATCTACTGGAAGGGAGATATCAAACATCTCTAGTGCAGTTATTACCCTTTTCAGTATGATACTGTACTGTAATCTGCTGTTATGTGTCTGTTACACCTAGAATGTCATCTAATACATGCTCTGTGAATACAAATATAACTGACAGCAATAAGGACTTACTGTTTTTTTAGCCCTACTGATGCTAGTGTGGTATATTGATCATTCCAAATCCCGATGGAGTGAGCTGAAGCATTTTAATATTCTTAATTACTTTAAATGCCACACGATAACTTATCTAGAGTTTTACTGGAAACCTCCCCCAACCAAAATGAAATGTGTGTGCTGTAAAAACATTAATATTTTATATTTCAGGACAGTGATCTTCTGTTTTAAGAGCACTAAGGAAATATGTGTAGGAATCTATCCAGAAATAGAGCCTTAGTGCAAATATGGAACATTCAAGGAAGATTTATAAACGCAAGGTAAGAAAAAAAAAAAACCAAAAACCAACAGTCCTTTTAAAGAGACCCATTGCTGATGATTACACCTTACACAATGCCATTTTAAAAATATAATAATTTGATCTCGTGGAATTTTACAGTGTAGAAAAGTGAGAATAATACATGCAAATTAATAGAATTAAAAAAATGTATGGGCTGATTTTGTAATGTCTTAGGACATAGGTTCAAAGCTTGGTATATTGCAAGAGGCAGACTTTGGCTTATGTTTTCTTCAGCACCTTCAGCATCTTCTAATTAAATACACAATGCAATTCATTAGATGGAATTATTTCCTTAGAGACCCTTCAAGCACTCAAAGGCACGGCCACCGATATGAATAACAATGCTTAATTATGAAATGTTGAATTTTTTTATCCCATCCTCCAATGAATACTCCGTTAACCTCCACATTAACCCCTTAAGGACCAAATTTCTGGAATAAAAGGGAATCATGACATGTCACACATGTCATGTGTCCTTAAGGGGTTAAACCTTTGAATCTGATCTGCTGGTGATACTGAAAGCATTTTTAAAAAGTCAAGGTAACCTTCACCCCAAGTCCAATGGATGCCATTTCAACACATTAGGTTTACTCACTAAAAGGTGATTTGCATGAACTGAAAGGCAGAATGAGGGCTAAAATAGCCAAGCTGTCACTATAGCTGAGTTGGGAATTCTTCCAAATCAGCTATTTTAGCCTACATATTGCAATTTGGTTCTCAATTGACTACGGTTCTGTGTTTAGTGATTAAACCGTTTCATATCTGCTGTGTGTGTTGCAGCTGCGCAATACAAATGCACTCTAGAAACATTTACTTTGTAATAGGTATATATGCTCTTACTCTTTACATTCCCTGTAGCATCGCACTTGTAAGTATGAAGTACTTTCGCTGGTGTCAAATTTTCAACCACAATAATGAAAAAAATAGCACTCACGGGTCTTTGCTGCAGAGAACTCTGCAGTCTTTCTTCTAATAGCGTGCTGCAAACTTGCATACAAAACATTGACGGTTTAGTCCTTAACTTAGTCTTGATAAAAGAATCTAAGTTAAAGGGACACTATACACACCAAGACCACTTCAGCTCATTGCAGTGGTCTGGATGCAATGTTCCTGTCCCCCTTAGTCCTGCAATGTATATCATTGCAGTTTTAGAGAAACTACAAAGATTGTATTGCAGGACTAAGACTGCCTCCAGTGGCTTTCAATCAGACAGCCACTAGAGGCACTTCCTGCTCTAGGTCATCTAACTGGCTCTGG